TGCTTAGCGTCTGACTGTTTTTTGTATTTGCAGATTTCATTCTGAATGTTTTGTTTAACAAAACAAAAAACATTCAGAATAAAATCTTTCTGTTTTGTCATATCAGTAAAAATGTAAAGACGTTTTCTTGTTTTCTACAGTCATTGGTTTACACCTATTTTTTCTTGTGACTTCCTGTTTATAACGAACACTTTTTTAATTCTTAATAGCCGCACTTCTCTAGTCTGTAAGGCATTATTGACCCACCTGAACTTTCCAGCAGTCGGACTGTTAGTTTTCATCTGGCGCCACCTTGTGGTAGCGCCTAGTCTCACCGCCTTTGTTATCATTGGTTCAAAATGTCACCGTCACCTTCTTGACCAATGACACCAGCTCGCCTCTGTTCCATGCATGCTCCTCCCCCTTTGTTACAAACACAGACACTCACACACACCAGCCTCCCCCCTCCCCACCCGTGATGCCAGCCACTCCGCGCCTGGACTGGTCTGCATGTTTTTGAGGCGGTATAATCTGAAAGCGGCCGACATATTATGGAGCAGACGGCTTGTTGATGGAGATGTGGCGGTGCACGAAGGAAAGGTAATCACGTTTTGCATATTTATATATGCACTAATATCCTTCGGGCTTGTTCTTAGGTGACGGCGGTGACTCTCCCCTGTGCATGTGTCTGCGTATGTGTGTGTGTGTAATCAGTGTATCGCTACATTGTTATACATTCCCATTTGTTTTTCATCCCTCTCGCAAATACTGCGATCACAGCTGGTCTCGGCGGCGGTGATAAATTATGATCGGCGTTAAACGAGCAGAGGAACACGGAGAGGGAATTCTGACTCTACGTAATCCATCTGGACATCAGGGGGGGAGATGAGGACCATGATGGCTTCGATGAAAGCGGCGTTTTTCTTGTTTCTGCACTGGGGTGAGTTCATCCGTACCTCTCTGACCATCTGTCACATGGTGGTACATTTGCATGATCGAATACACTGTTTATTTGCATATTCTTTACAGCAGGTGGCTTAATTTTCATGATTTGGTTCACCATGTTCTTTTTTAGGTTGCCTTATCTTTGAAACATTCCTAAGCGCTGGAAATCCTTTTTTTCCTCATACCTGAAGTTTAAATGCAGAAAAAAACATACCAGGAAAGTCTACTATCAGACAAAAGTCTTAGGGTGTGCGGGTGTGGCTTCCAGGAAGTCCTTAGGAAAGGTTGAGTTGAGTAGGAGATGGAAATAATGGCTATATAATAATATTTTACGGTATATACTCCATAGTAATGCTCAGTAGTTGCTGGAGATTTGTGCAACTGCGAGTTTCTATGGTTTCAGTCCTTCCTGTGGACATACTACTGTTCCTTGTGAAATTTAAGATGCACTATTTTAACACAGAAGCGTTGTAGTTGAGGTGTTTCTTGCAGAGATATTATTTTATAAAAGTATCAGACAACTTTGTGATACTTAAAGTAATGACTCATTGGATGTGCATTGGGGAAATAAACTGCAAATGCTTTTAGATTTATACATCAGTTGTACAGTTTGACCACAGAGGGAGGACAGCATATGGATGACACAGTTTTTATCTCCATCACATTAGTCATAAGTCCAATTATCACATTTAAAAACTGGGCGGGCAGGCTGCCTCTGGGAGAGATCCGTATTAGTCACAGGTTTGTGTTTTAACATGCGTTTCTATGTGGGGGT